TATGAGTATATGTAGTGTCAACATACCATGAAATGAAGGAACTACCAATTTCCAGCATGAATTACTTGATAAAAGGGACTACATTAGATGCAGAGTTGTTGAATAAACCAGCAATGCTATAGTAGTTAATTACAAAGTTACTTAAAGGAAGAAAACCTGCAGTATTTCACAGTGTATTCAACTTGCAATTGCTTCCTAGCATGGCTAACACAGTATTAGCAAATATAATACATTTCATAGAGGACTGAAGGAAATGCTTTAATGTCTCTAAAAACCACAGTTTAAGGCAAATTCCATATTGACCGGCAATTAGCAAACAGCAATTAGCTTTCTCTCAGTACTTTCCATCAGTGGATTGCAAGTGCAGTATAAAAGGGGACTCTATAATTATGCTTATTTTACTGATGAGGTGAAAGATACATGGGGAGAAGTAACGCAGCCAGTGACATTTGACAGACTAATTGCAGGCTGAGTGGTATCACTCTGCCCCACTAATCTCAGGCAACCCTAATGGCCCATCTCACAGCAATTTTGACATAATTTTCCACATTTCTCTTTTTTTTTAGGGTTTTTTTTTTTCCAAGTGTAATCTAAAGACACTTCATCGGACACATTAACTTTTAATGACAGCCACAGGCAGCTGCAATTTCTCTCAGTAACATAATGATTAATTAGTAAAACACAGTATGCAATATATGTCCAAAGTGACTTAGTCCTATTGCTAATTGTAGCAATTAGCTAAAACTCAACAGCCTGCATGGTGTTTTGCAGAGCTCCACAAAAACCCACCATGGACTGAATAATTTATATTCCAAATTACACAAACATATACACAACACATCTTAGTTCTCTAGATTAGCGACTAGTAAGGTCACTACTGATAAACCCTTAAAAATACCTAAAAGTAGAATTATACAGCTGATAAACTATATATTTCATAAAGAATATATGGAAAACTTGACTATTTTTACAAGCCTAAAGACTTTCTTTCTATTATGGCACTCAGTAAAATTAATCTACAAGCTCAACAACTAAAGTTTGAACAAAACCCCATTATCACTGACTATATGGATTCTTTCCCAATACAACAGTATTTTTCTATTCTGTTTATTTTAGCATAAAGACCTTCTCCTGCTGGGCACAAAGCCAAAACCATACAAGTTTTGCTCATATGTCTCTGCCTGAAGTGTTCGACCAAAGATTTTTAAAAGGGCAAAGCTCTTAAATGTCCCCTTGATTAGCCAGATTTCAATATTGTCTAAGCCACAAAAAAAAAGTTAACAGAGGGAAATAATTTCATTCTCATCTGGAAGAGTACAGGAAGGCCAATATATTGCTTGGTTCAGAGGTGTTATATATTCATTATTGCTCATAGCAATGAGTGAAAAAGAAGCTACAGTCTAGTTTTCAGAAGCTCATTGGCCAAACACATTCAACTGGTTGCCAGAAAGGTTATAAAACACAGACAGTATAGAACATCAATTTTCTATACTTTCCCCCCATAATGGGGGAGAAAAAAATGACAGAGAATAATTGAAAAAACATTCAGAGCAGGGAGGCCTGTCTCAAGTCAGAAGGTCAAGAATCAATTTCTTATGAGTGGACAAAGCTCCCAATTTCATCCATCCAACTCCTATTTTCTTGTCTTCTCACTTTCAAATGAGTGTAGTTATTACTGACAAAAAGCTCTGTACTACAAGAATTTGAGAAAACAAAAAACCAAACAGTCAAAATAAACATCCAAGAGCTGGAGAGAAAAGGGAAACCACAAAATCATGGACAGGCTGCAAAACAGTTTGCACTGTCCTCTGTGCTGAAGTGGCTTTTATCAAGCTGCCCATACTGGGTAATACAGGTCATTCTCTGGTAGCACTTTTTCGTAAAATCATGCATCCCACAGGTCTTGGTCACACAATTTATCGCAGATTTGTCTGTCAGAAATGGAACATCCATGAGAAAAAGCTGCAGACAAGACTGAGAGAGATCTTCTGGAGCACTTGGAAAATCACTGAGTTTCCTCACATGCCAGGGCCTTCCAGACTATCCAGCTTTGTGCAGTGAGGTTTCCCAAAGCCCTAGGAACCAATCTGCCTTATGAGCCTTGCATGGCCAAACCAATAAAGAATTATTAGTAGACATTTTCAAGACTTTTTCACTGAAAGTGAAATGGTAATTAATTTTCTTAATTGAACGATCATTCATTACCCTTTTGCTAAATAACATTCTCAGTCCTGAAAGTTACTGCCATGTCTTCAATTTCTCTTTTCAAGATAAGATTAATAACAAGCCTGTAAGTCTGCAGCACAGTACAGCATATATTGTGTGCAGTTTTTCCATTTAGATTCTTCAATTACAAGCAACTGCAGCAAAAAAAAAAAAAACCAAACATATTTTACTAGCTAGTATTACATTTTGGCAGATCACAATTAAATTATTCCTTAGAAGCAGCACTCAGTGCTTAAGAAGAAGGATTACACTGAATAACAGGACTAATATTTTAACTCAATTAGCATGTTATTTTTCAATAAAAAGGTATACACTACTGTAATTCCTTCTTCTATGGGTGATATCAGCTATAAAACAGAAATACTGCAACTTTTTTTTCAGGTAAACTGCTTAATTTTGTAACAAAGTTTGTATGCTTTGTATATTTTTGAAGTGGATGAAAATGTGGCATATTATTATTTTTTATAAATATATAATCTTATTTTACACTCTTGCAAGCATGGAATATTTCAATTCTATAAAAGACTGTCAGAGACTATGCTTTACTACATCTAAAAATGCTTGAGCATTCCATGGTAAGAAATTTTTCTTTTATATCTTTTGTTCTGTACTCTTCTGTGTTTGATTTCTAATACTGGTTGGAGCAGAAGTGATTTTTGGATAAAAAAGAAAAATATTACATCTAATTGCAATGGAAGTAAGGGATCTTCTCCGTGGAAACTGTCTGCTAAATATGCTCAGATGACTTACTTATCAGATTCTTCAATACAGTATTTCAATTTTATGGGATTATATTTTCCTGTAATTTTTTCACTAATAATTTAAAAATGACATCAACATATAAATGTCTGAATGTCTGAAGACAATCAAGTTGTGTCATTTCAGTCTAACATATTTCAGGGCCATGTCCTTGATCGTTCAAAGTAGCTACTCAGGTTCTTTTAAGGTAAATTAGAGTACATATGGACATCCAAATATAGGAATAGGAAAAGGTCATTTTGATTTCATAGGGCAAGACAAAAAGAAAACTACAGAGACAGACTATGCTATAGCCAGTTGGGAGATGAAAATTATATAGTACAAAGGAACAAAAAAGTAAAAGGCTGAATGATTAAGATGAAAAAATAAGATCAATGAGTACATAAGGAGGTATTAGTAAATGGACATGAAATTCCAGTTAGTCAGAGTTTTATGTTCCTTTTGTGGAGAACATCTGGTGAATGTTTTAAAAGATGAAATACTGAAAGGTACGACATATTTCCAAACAGAAAATAACAGTAGATTTTTACACAAGTTTAATGGAACTAGAATTCTTACATTTACCATCATGGTAAGAATGACCTTTCCTAAGCATTATAGAATTATTCACACTAGAAGCAAAAGAGAATGCTGCCAATAACACCACCTGAATGTTAGAACTTCTACGTCATATAATATCATAATTCTTATTTACTTCCAGATACAATGAAGTTATAAATCCTTTAAATTCACTCTATATTCTTACATTATAAAAATAGCAACTAATGGAGAATTGATGATTTCAGTTCTGGATTCAGTAACCCAGAAGTGCATTAAGGATTCATATAGCACAAATCAAACTCCTAGTGAGACTGGAAAGGCTGGAGCTTGCCAATGAGTAAAAATCATGCTGTTTAGGAGGACTAACTACAAACTACCATGGCTAAACTTTTGACAGATCTTTTCATATAGAACAACAGTTGAATTTAGAAATAGATGACCTAGAAGTGAGCAGTAAACATCCCCCCCCCCCCCCCCCCCCCCCCCCCAATTTATTTTCAGTCTTTATTATATGAATCTTCAACAGAAGAAATTCTGGTTTCATCTTCAGGAAAAAAGCTAACTATGATGTAGTCATATTGGAATGGTTACCCAGAAATGATGTGGAGACCCCATTAAGGTACCAAAAGTTTAAGTGAACAAGGATCTGAACAACCTCTTCTGAGCCAGCATTGCTTTGAGAAGAGATGGCGGACCTCCAGAAAGCCCTCTGAACAAAAATTATTCTGTATTTCTATGAACTATATAGATAAAAACAAACAGAACCTCCTTGTAGATCAAAACATAATGCAAACTGCAATTCACTAACAATGAAGATGAAAGTTCACAGCATATACCTAAGCTAAGGCTCCACAGCTGGAAAGTATTAAAAAAACCCCAAATAGACAAACAGACACAAAAGAAATTTTTTCAAAGTAATACCAGCAGTCCATAGGGGAAGCAGGAGAATATAGCAGGACAAACAAGCCAAGACTTTTGAAATTGTTAGGAATGGCCCAGTGAACGGTCTAGAAAATCTGATTTCAGCCATCATTTACAAACTCAAGCTGGCAACCTTTTAGTACTGTAACTTAAAAGATTTTTTTGTTCCTCTTCATCTCTCATCTGATTAAATTGCATTGACTTCATAAAAGGTAACAATTGCAGTAAGAAAACTGAAAAGCTCTAAAATACTGGAAGAAAACAATAAAATGTATTTTGCCCAGAAGCAGTTGGCCTCCCCTGGCCCCTTTTTAGTAAAAGCTCAAAAAAAGCTTTACACTCTGGACACCAAGATGGCAGGATCATTTAAATTCTTAAGTATAAACTTTCTGACCTTCACCATGTTGAGGCATGACTATTTATACCTCTGCATCAATTCCATTTATTCAAGACATATTAAAAGACATCAACCCCATAAACTTTACTGACTCTTTTCTGCTTCTTGGTTCATTAATGCTAAAACATATTAATCTAACAAGTAATTGGGTGATTACCTCTTGAAGAACCCTCTTCATTTTCAGAAGCAGTGTCTTGACAGCCGTGCAGTCTTGGAGCATCAATCTGAAGGGCAGAGACTCAATGCCTCCACCTTCTTCCAGACCAGCAAAAGGCCACTCCACAGATGGGCTGCCAGCCAGCTGGCTGACACGAGGGTACCTGGCTTCTCCTTGCTCCACCTCCTTCGACAGCTTCAAGGATAGATTCCTTGTGAGAGAAAACAGAGAGGACAACACTAAAATATGAAAAAGAGCTAATAATTTGGTGGGGTGGTAATTCCTCTGAGCTTAAAGACACTTAAACATTTTCTTTTAGAGCCCACTAGCATGAACAGCCTTTATAACATACATGCAGCCATACAGTGCTAGCAATAAAATACACATTTATGAAAGGACCATATTCTACATGAATTAAAACCATGTTCTAGCTCACGACCTACAAAAGAAAGAAATTTTCTTAAAACAAAATATCCTATTGGGCAAAACTTCTACAGGTCTATTTAATCTCAGTTGAGCTTTACAAAAAATGAATCAGTCATGCATTTTCAGAAGCTAAATCAAATCACAGTCTTCCATGTGCTTTGGCTTACAAAGAAAAGAAACTGAAAAAAAAAAAAAAAAGCTCCCTTCAGGGCTGGCCCAGTGACATAAGATGAACCTGCTATTGTATAAAACAGAATACAGAATTTAATTCATCTGCACTCACTCTTAGGTTTAGCTACTACTAAAGCTATATAAGCAGAACATGCAACAAAACAACAGTAAGTTGTGGCTGAGAATCCATTAAAGACACAGAAAGATTTTAATGGACTTTAAAGGTAATGAAAGACCATTACTTTGCTGCATACACACTATCTTCCTTTAATATCAGAACAAGTTACCTATTTTTCCCATGATGAAGTCATACTAAATTAACTCGGTACAATTAATGATGATAGCATAAGCAGTGAAGAAAATCACAATTACTGATCATTTTAAATATTGTTCTAATTTTCTGTTCTTTAATTTGAATTTTTATGCAACACAAAACTGATTCTGCTGTAGTTTGGAAGGACATAAGATTTTCCTTAGCTTTGGTTTTATAGGATCCACAGACAACATCAAATTAATGCAATTTCTTAAGATAAACAATTCCCACTATCATAATAAAAAACTTCAAAATTAGGATACTATAATTATCTCTTATGGATGGTTCATTTTTATACTTTGAAAGCTAGGCAATATGCAGTAAATTCAACTTATTAGATTAAGCAATCTGTGGCACCACAGAGATCACACACACAGACAGAGCCTCATGTTGGCCAATGGAACTAAAACTTCTAGCTCTTCAAGACTTGTAAAACAACAAAAATTAGTCTGTTTTCATTTTTAAATGCACTGAACCATCTTTGAGGGGAGTATTTTGCATCATTTAAAATAAAAACATGGTGATGGTAAAGTTGCTTTTGGTTGAAGGATATTAAACCACTGCTGTTTTATAGCCTTTAAACAAGACCCAGGTAGAAATCATGCAAAGAAAGATAACTTATGAAACTGAAGTATCATAACATAGACCACTTTTAAAGGTTTATAAAAGAAGCAATATTCAAACTATTGGAATCTACACTTGCATAAGATTTATGTATCCAGAAAAGCAGATTATTTAAATTAAGATGAAACAAGGTTCACTTTTTTCTCCACACAGCACCTGCAGACTAGAAGATGGATTATTCCTTAGAATATTCAGTGCATTCCTAAATCCCACTGAAGTTTCATCTTCCTCATATTCCTCTACAGATGTTCTATGTGTGGGTCCCATCCTGGCCCTGAGAAATGACCAATTTAACATGTACTGTCTCCCAAGAGGAGTCTTTTACTTCCTGTTATCAGAGGGAAGAACCTGGTATCACCAGCCATGCATGCCCTGTTCCCCAATGATAAGAAAATAAGCAGTATTCTTGGAAAACTATCCTCCCCTCTGGAAGAGATACATTGTTTATTTATAAGCTATAAATGTACTGCAAATATAACAATTCTGAATTTCAAATAAAGACAATATTTTCAGTTACTTCAGTAGGCTTCATATTGCTACCACATTGATCAATACAAAAACTACCATTCTTTCAAACACAGAATCTTGCACTACATATGAAAAGTGATGTAATAACTTATTACAACTCAGTCTTAAGACTTTAAAATCTGACTCAACTGTTTCTTGAAAATGGTAACTCAGAGTTCAATGGTATACAGAGAGCATTCAGATTATAAACTCCTTCCTGATAGTTCAGAGGTACTTTAACTGATCTGTGACAGAAAAACTCTGCACTCTCTGACACAACTCATTCTACTTGCTGCAGAAAAAAAAAAAAGCTCATTTAAACTTCATTCCAGAAATGGTATTTCATCGAGTTTATTATTAACAGCATCTAGGTGGTCTGTTACATTATTATTATGGTAATCCGCTGCAATTCATCTCAAAGCAGCAATAAGACATCTAGAAAGTGGAAAAAAAAACAAAACATCCCAAGTCTTCCTAAATAAGACGTTTCACTTTATTAGTAAATATCTCAGCCTCTGAAGTTCAGGTAGGGCTGGTTCCTTGATTGGTAGTGCAGGAGTTCCTTACAGATGGCCAGACCCCTCTGCCTTCCCAACATGCATTCATGGTAATATAAACATTTCACAGGCAAATACTGTCTGTGATAAACTTCTTAAGCCCTTGGAAAAAAAATCTCAGAAGGTCTATTTTAATGGCCAAATCAATGTATTTTCTGTAACATTAACTACATAATATTATCAACATAAAATATTTCAGAAAGGCAATTTAGCGATTTTTAAATACATGGCTACGGCCTGAGCTCTAAATTCACCTTCCATATGCTCAGGCTAAGTTCCCACTTTAAAAAAATCACATCTGAAAACATTCTGAGCACTGGAAGTCAGTTTCAAAACGCTTCTGAAATGGCTTGACCCAACCCCGCTACTGCTCTTCCCAATGAATCCCTGGCATGGTTTGGTTGTCACTACAGGTAAATTGGATGGTTCCACTCCATTCTGAAGGATTTTCAGTGGTGCAGATGCACACTCAAGTACCACCCCATACTAGAGGTCACCTCAAATCCCTGAGCACTGCAATGGAGCCATGAATGATAGCAGATAAAAAGACACAATGTTAGTAGAATTGTTGCTATCATAAGGTCAGAAAATCCACAGAAACATTGCTTTAAGTCTGTAAATATTGTGAAAACTTGCGCAACTCAACGGTACTTCATACTTTGGACCTGCTGGCTTGGTTCTTATATAGCTGGACATATCCACTGAGCATCACAGATCTACTCCCTCATTTCTAATTGATACAAAGAATTAGAAGCTACAATATCCACAGTCAGTAAAATGGTAGTGCCATTTAGGCAGATTTCTGTTTCAAAAGCAGTTTTTACTGAAATAGTATGCTAGCATTAAAATAATCAATCAGTGGCTTTCAGCATTTAATAGCCTCCATCAATCCAATGTAACCACACATTAACTGAGTAAGAGACACAGTTGTGCAGATCCTTTGAAAGCTCCTTTTCCCTAGGAAGGTAGAACAAAACTCATTTTCTTATACTAAATAATTCTTAAAGGGTTTTTAAAAAATAGGAAAAAAGGGAAAAGAGAAGAAAAAGGAAAGAAAAAAAAAAGGGGGGGGACCCAAAGACATGTATTTGCAGCTTGAGCTTGCTAAGTCATTCTTCCCTTCTTCCTGATCCTCAGATCAATGATTTCAAGACCTTATGGTAATTTGAACTTCACTTACATAAAGATCCGCAGATTATGTGGACTTTATTCTTCTTAGTTTTCATCAGCAGTGCTCAAGATGTTGCTAAATCAGAATTAGCCTAAACTAATACAATTGGTTCCCCTGAGTCTGCTTCTCTTTATATGAGCTTAACACAGGAGAACCCATGTAATATTGCTGGCATCAGAAAGGCTCTGAAAACCGAGCAAAAGATCCCAGACTATACGAGAAGAGCTTCTTTCTTTCTTCCCTGAGGGCTTATCTTCCAAAGCAGGGTCTTAGAAAAAGCCTTAAACTTCTGATCTGCAGTATTTAAATGTACAGCTATGTGTGTATATATTCATAAAGATATTATGTATATACATATATGTATTTTTATAGCTCTGTGTGTGTGTATATATATATGTAGTTATAGAAGTCACACATATACTTATATATAAACACATAAAAATTTGGTCTTGGTAAATTTTTCTAAAAAACAAGTAGTTCTTATTTGCCCATAGCTTGGCCCATCCTTTTACACTAGAAGAAAGATGTTTTTAGTTTCATACAGAGTTTATCTCCTGAAATCCTATTTCATATTAATCTAGAAAGCCTTCAATACATATTTCCTTCTCCCATCCAGAATTATATTTTTCCTCACTAACAGTAAATACATTTTCCTCCTTCACAGAATTAACTAATTACTATTTTGATAAATATCCCTCAGCTGGACCATGAAGTTAAGACATGCAAGCACAATTCCTTCTGCTTTTTAGAGGAAAAGCTGCCTACCTCAAATACTTACAAAATTCAGTTTGAAAAACTCTGTGGCTCTCCTAAAATAAAGTACATCATCCATGAAACCCTACTATCATCCCATACTGAATCTTGATCTCCTAGTGATCTCCTACTAGTCTTATCTAGTAAAGAGACATCTTCTGTCCCAAACAGTTCACATCACAACTGAAATACAGGGACATACTGTGGAAAAAACCAAAGCCCCCTCACCATACTTAGCAGAATTAAGGCACAGACTTTAAAAAACATCATCTTAAATACTACAATGAACATACAAAATAATGTCCTGATAGGTGCCTAAGTGTTCTCAAGACCTAGTCAGGGAGGATAAAAAATTTGGCAAACTCCTCACTCAGTTTCGAAAACACGAGCTTTGCAATACTGAGATAAAAAGCTAACCAGAACTTAAACTCTCGGCTAATTACTTATATTAGCATTCTTTGGCATCAAAATTTCTACCTCTCTCTGTCTCACATAATTTCTCAATATTGCTTCTGTTCTAACAGAAACTGCTTCCAAAGTTTTAGGGATAAGATCTTGGAATCTTTTACATCAGTGTGTCATAAGGTACTCATTGTTTGACATTTTACAGCTTTTAGAGCTGTGTATCCTATATTGATGCTATGATTTTTCAAGGTCAGCCTTTCAGAGAAACCATGTCCAGTATCTGT